TTTTGTCCTTCTTTTTGTTGATGTGGTGGATGATGTTGATGGATTTTCAAATGCTGTACCATCCTTGCATCCCTGGGATGAATCCCACTTGATCATGATGGATAATCTTTTTGATGTATTTTTGAATTTGGTTTGCTAATATTTTGTTGAGTATTTTTGCATCTATGTTCATCAGGGATATTGGTCTGTAATTTTCTTTTTTTGTGGGGTCTTTGCCTGGTTTTGGTAGTAGAGTGATGTTGGCCTCATAGAATGAGTTTGGGAGTATTCCCTCCTCTTCTACTTTTTGGAAAACTTTAAGGAGGATAGATATTAGGTTTTCTCGACTTTAATTTTTTAAGACATTCAAAGCCCCTTGCTCTGACACCAGAGGCGTCTGGACTTGATGTGGAAGCCATGCATACTTAGTGGGCTCCTGACCCTCCAGCTGTCCGGGGAAGGGGCCAGCCATCCCTGTGCCCTGGGGCTGTTGTTTCCCGACAGCCCAAGTGTCCGTCCTGAACCTGGCTCAGGACTTGGGTGGACAGGAACCTTGGTCTGTTGATGGAACCTGTGCATGCCTGGGTCTCTGGGTCCCCAGCACCTGCCATCTCCCTGCGTGCAGGAAGAGGCCAGAAGTGTAGACTCACCCAACACTGAACGTTTCGGGCTCTGGATTAGACCTCATCACCAAGGGCTGATGCTCGGGGAGGCAGCCTGGGTTGGCTGGGCGACCCTCATGCTCTGAAGTTGGGCTGGACCACCCAGAGTAGGCCCCTTTGGGTGGGGAGGGGCTGGTCAGGCTGGCAAATGACACCTGCTGGGCTGGCTGCCAGTTCCCCCCTCCCAGCCCCACGGCCACCTCCTTCCTTCACTGCAGTCATCCAGCTTGAAATCTGAGTCCATAAGAGCAGATTTGGCCCTTACTGAGTGGGCTTTTGTGTAAGTGTAAACAAGCCCCTCAGTAGGTGCTGGGGGGCACCCGTGGCTCAAGGACGTCAGCCTGGGAGATGCTGCTTCTGACCACAGATACTCCTTGAGGTAAATGGGGTTCTTGTCCGTGTGTAAGTTTTGAGCGTGCGGAACAGTTAGGAGATAACAGTGCTTGCCTGCACACATCCCACACCTCCTCTGCATGCATGCACTTTCCCTGGGCTGCCTCCGTGGTGAGATGGCCTCAGGCCTGAGTTCCCTGTTCTGAGCTCCTTCAGAGCTTTCAATGTTTTTATTTCTAAACAGTATATAGGGCTTTGGCATATTTAACAGCATTTTGTGGAACCTTATTGTTTATTTCCTTCTATGATTCAGTCTTGCCATTTTGGTGCTCTGACAGTTCTAAGATTCACCCACTGGCACGTGGCTGAGGCCCTCTGGATGGCTGCCGAAGGCTTCAGTTCTGCGTCTCTAGCGTTATTGGTATTATGTTGTTTTCTGTCCTTGTGTCAGCGTCAGCCAAGGGCCTGCTGGGCTCTTCTTTCCTTGTCTTCTGTCACTTGCAGTGACTCTCGAGGGTCGTATCCTGACCGTTTTGGTTTGGAATCTGTTTGCATTCGCACTCTCAGGTGTTTTCTTTTCTTTCTTTCTGTCTTTTTAATTAGGGTATCATTGATACACACTCTTAAGAAGGTTTCACAAGAAAAACAATGTGGTTACTACATTCACCCATATTATCGAGTCCCCCCCCCCACCCCATTGCAGTCACTGTCCATCAGTG